CAGGTTAATTCCAGAAAACACATTATGCAAAAAATGTATTACTTCACTTACCATTGCCATACCACATTCCTGTTTGACAGCCTGTATATTTATGGCAAAGAATGGCGCTCGAGCCGCATGCCTTGGTCTCATTATGTGCCTGCACAACCTCCTGGAAATCCTAGTTATCGGCGTGGTACACAAGTAAAAAGCAGTCCGAGTTTTCATAATCGGCCTAGGGGAGCCAGACCTGACCATGATACCATGAGCCGTCGCATAGTGCCTCCCCAGATGTGCTTTGAGCTTGAACTCCTTTCCGCAACCGCCAATGTTACAGCGATGCGGTCTGTGTGGCATTCCCTGAACCCTTTCCTCCTCCACTTCGCTACCAGATATTTTCTTACCGCCATTTTCGAAGTCGCCGTCGCCAAACCTCGTTGGTATTTTGAGGCCACCATATTTTTTCCAGTAGTGCCAACACACTTGGCACAAGCGACATTGCATATGCGAAGGACCCCAGGCGTACCATTGGTTTGATACCGTTACTGAAAATTAATTGTATGGATAAATTAAAGGCAGCATTTGAGGAAAAAGTAGATACAACAGAACACTCTATGTTAATGTGTGTAATTCTAAAAAATGTCCTTCAAAACATTCAAAATTATTTTACAATTGATTGAAGAGTGTGAATTTTCCCTGTTGAAGATAACTGTGTCAAAGGTGATGAGGGAATGAACATAGTGCTCTAAAGCATACTACATTGTTTGAAATGCCTTCAGATTTCTGCAATTGATGATGGGCGTGGCTTCATTTTTATTGGTTGGAGTAATTTGTCCCATTCGTGTACAGTTTAGTGCAGGTAGTTAAGTAAGTAACTACTTTATTTAACCACTTTATATACAGTAGCATATTTGTAGCAAGTCACGAAAGTTTGTTCATTGGATAAAAACGTTAAGTTTTTAGGCTAGGTTTTTAGGCTATCAATTTTTCTGTAACTCGCCACTAGATGGCGCACATTGGAACAGCAGCGATACAACAACACAGTACTAGTAGAATATAAACAGAATATACATATAAGAGTAAATAATTTAAAGATAATGTCTCAGTGAGCATAAATCAAATTATTCCACCTTGTTTCACCTTTTCTTCATATTCATCTAGTGTATAAAA